AAATTACCTTGTTGACATAAAGTAAAAGTATAACAAGGCGACCCCAATCGTGTGTCACAAGACCCATTATAACTTTATGTATTATATTTGTATATAAAGAATAATAATAGTAATAATCGAACATTAAATAAAAGCCCTTTCCAACAAGTATCTAGAAAATGTCTGAGGGTGTGCCAAAAATGAGAAGCCCCTCAAGATCGGAGGTCTGGATTTAGAGGGCCTAATTTTCACTTTAAAATAAGACCTTTCATAGGCCTGAGGGAGGGTCCCCGTTCCGTTATTAAGGTGGGGTCCGTGGGGGCTGGACCCCAGCAAGTGAGAAATAAACGCCAGTAAAATCTTATTCAGTACAACAGAGATTGATTTAGATAAGTTTTTAGCGGCTCAAAATTGTCAGAAATGAATCTTTAGTTCTTTAGTTCTTCAAATGTTCTGAGTACAAAACCCCAGCACCAATTCATTCCTGGTGACGGGGATGACGTGGCCCACCCTCTAAATACACCAATGAACATCTTGACCCCTGCTCGTGTGTCACAAGACCCATTATAACTTTATGTATTATATTTGTATAAAGAATAATATTAGTTATAATCGAACATAAAAAACATACAATAGAAACAGATAGAAGTTAAATAAGGGCATTAGAGGTGTGATTTTTGAGTATTTATATTGGAATGTCATTAAAGGGGCACCTTCACAATGGTCAAGGTCGGCCTATTACCAACTTCATCTTATACCTTGTTCTTGTATCATAGAAGTTTGTAAATGCACATGTCGATAATCATATCGTACCGTGGCTAAAGGAACAGTAAATAGTGATTGATTGAATTGTACGCGAGAGAAAACCAGCCAATCATGGCCCACGATATAATATCTGTAAATATCAATCCATAATGTTGACAATCTTTCTGTCGAAGGCTCTCATAGGATGTATTCGTTGGCGCACAATCCAATCAAATAGCTGTATTCCATTATAGGCAGGTCCGTAGCCAAAAGGGGGGATTTTGAGGGCTCCCCCCCCCCCCCTAGAAAAATGTACCGGTCGCCTTTTTAAAAAACATCTTTTCTTTTTCCTACAACCAATGCGACACCAAAATGAAAATGTTGATTTGGATTTCTGGTTTCGTTTTTCGTTGGTACTTAGTTTATCATATTCCTTATTTCTATATCATTGAAATCATTCTACACGTGCTACTAAACTCATGATTCCTATCACACCTGTTACACCTGGTATGGGTTGTTCATTTCTTACCTCAGACCAACTGGTAGTCGCTGGACCATGGTGAGTTGAATGAGCTGGGATGGGGATGACCATGGATTTGGTCTAAATGATCTAGAGCTGGCCAGTGGTGTACCTCAGACCAGCTGGTAGTCGCTGGACCGTAGCGAGTTGAAATTATTACATCATTCTACACGTGCTACTAAACTCATGGACAGCTGGCTCCTTATCACACCTGTCACACCTGTCAGTCAAACCCAGGCTTTGCCCCTCCCCCCCTCCCTACAAATATGTACCGGTCGCTTTTTATAAAATACACCTTTTCTTTTTCCTGAGTCAATAGGAGCGGCAGGTAACTGAATCTGAGTGAATGGCCAACAGTGGTCATTCTGGTCAGGCATTTTATGGTGGAGTAAATGCACCAGTCAGCTGTATTGGTGTGCTGTAGCCTATCGTCGTTTTAACCATGCCCCTTATAAAAAAAGGTAGGACCAAATCCCGTGTGTGTTCATATTCTCAAAACGAAACGTAAAGTCTATGTACAAGCGTGTTGATTGGCCAGTTTGAAAATAATTCCACATTGAGGATTTGCAGATTTGCACAAGAATCGGACGTTATCTTATATTTCTGACAAGTGACACGTAAGGCAATAGTGACAATAGGTGTTAACCAATGAAATTGCAATCAAAATGCAACCTAATATGAGAATAGTTGCCTCACGAATTGGTGATACTCATCAAAAATTTATCAAGGCTGCCTCCGGCTATGCTCACATGGGCATAGTGCCATGCGGTTTTTGTCATTTTCAGGCACAAATCGCTTATGTGGACACGCAACTTTAAAGTCCATGAAACGTTTTATGTAACCCGTAACCTGTATATAATGACACGATACGAGTAAATGGACTAAATGTGATTAAAATTCATTTAAAATTGATTTTAGTATTAAATGGTGGTCTAATGGTATAATTATTCCGTTTGTTGACACATTTTATACCTAAACACAATTCAGAAAGAATGGATTGGCTCGAGTTAATTCTGCACTTGCTACAATTGGAACACGTTAAAGGGACAGATGTACCATTTCATATACCATATCTTAGTCTCAGAAACTTTTGTTTGTCAGTTTTCATTCGATTTCAATGAAATTTGTTGTGATTATTTATGATGATGAGATCTTGGACATGTTAGAAACTGAAGATGTTTCGATAGCGGAATTTGAGTTATTGCCCTTGACTTAGTAAAAACGCATCATCGATTTTTGGTATGATTTGACGCAGATTGGTGACCGTTCTTGATATATTTGAAATGTATCAGAGAAGTGGGCGTATCTTGTTCTTGCTAAGAAACCACTTTTTTCAATATTACTTCTTTTAATGCACACGTGTACACTCATTTTGAACCCTCTAATTGTTTGCGAAAAATTACGAATATATTAAAGGGTCATATGTGCATGGATCCATTGACAACAAAGGGCCTTTTTGTACATCTAACCTTTCTGGTGTGAAGTTTTGGCTATTTGGCAGTTAAGACCTTATAGTTCTATAACAACTTTATCTGACAGAATTTATTTTTATATATATATTCGTCTTAATACTCTCTCATAACTGCACGTGATAATGCTAGAGAGATTTTAAAGTGATGCTCTAAATTTTATATGTGTATCGGGGAGACTGATAGCATCAATTTGTACTGCAATACAATCTTTTGTTCCTGCGATACTACTTAAACTAAAAGTTTGAAGACGTCACTAATTTACATATTCTACCATGTCTTTGTACCCAACGTACCCTAAATATAGTCGAGGGAGGTCTAACTTATATTACTTAACAAAATTGTGGGAAGAAGGGAAACGCCTACACCTCGACCGAATTGTAGTACCATGCTGGGTACAGGAACATTGTAGAATATCCGGTAATGTTTTAGTAAAATCAGTTATGGTTCAGGTTTGTATAGATGACAAATGTTATTCCAATTTTGCTTTTGTCATACAGCAAACTCTCATAACCTAACGATTAATTATTGGATCGGAACATCTCTGGTAAAAAGTGAAATTCTGTGTCTTGCCTTAAGGGTACTGATACCCCATTCGTTTATCAGGTCCTAGGAACGGGTAGGGCTAGATAAGTCGGGCTTAAACAATATTAGCTGTGGTAAATCCAGTAACAGTGGGATAACAGGGGCAAATAAGGCGTTCCAGAAGGGGCAAAGGGGCTCCATGCCCTGTGACGCAAGTGGCATCACTGCCTTGCACAATAATTTAAAAACAAAAACGAATAATCAAAATAATACATTATTATATTCAATAATCGATAGCTTACTGCCTATCAATTTAAAAACAACCGAATTATAATACATAAAACTATATATATACACATCAACAATGTTGTATATAACAATATGATATAAACATATAATACCAACAATAAACAAAATAACAAAAGTAAAGGAATATTATAACTGTGCAAAGTTAGTTCATCTCCAGTCTTTATCCTGGCCTGAAGAAACAATTTGCCCCATTAAATCGGAAGAGCGATTTTGACTTTTATCTTTATCCATAATTTTTACATGTGACATATGTTTAATCTGTCAGCACATGAGATAAAAGTATAGTCTACAAGCAGCACATGCTATGAAAGTATAGTCTGTCATTAAGGCATTTGAAGAAAGTATAGTCTGTCAACATGACATCCAATGAAAGTATAGTCTGTCAACAAGAGATGCAATGAAAGTATAGTCTGTCAACAAGACATGCAATGAAAGTATAGTCTGTCAACAAGACATACAATGAAAGTATAGTCTGTCAACAAGACACACAATGAAAGTATAGTCTGTCAACAAGACATACAATGAAAGTATAGTCTGTCAACAAGACATGCGATGAAAGTATAGTCTGTCAACAAGACATGCAATGAAAGTATAGTCTGTCAACAAGACACACAATGAAAGTATAGTCTGCCAACAAGACATGCGATGAAAATATAGTCTGTCAACAAGATACACTATGAAAGTATAGTCTGTCAACAAGACATGCAATGAAAGTATAGTCTGTCAACAAGAAATACAATGAAAGTATAGTCTGTCAACAAGACATGCGATGAAAGTATAGTCTGTCAACAAGACATGCAATGAAAGTATAGTCTGTCAACAAGACATGCAATGAAAGTATAGTCTGTCAACAAGACATGCGATGAAAGTATAGTCTGTCAACAAGACATGCGACGAAAGTATGGCCTGTCAACAATAAATACAATGAAAGTAAAGTCTGTCAACAAGAAATACAATGAAAGTATAGTCTGTCAACAAGATATGCAATGAAAAAATAGTCTGTCAACAAGACATGTGATGAAAGTATAGTTTGTCAACAGCACATACTATGAAAGTGTAGTATGTCAACAAGACAAGCAAGGAAAGAATAGTCCGTCAACAGCACATACAATGAAAGTATAGTCTGTCAACATCACATACTATGAAAGTATAGTCTGTCAACAAGACATGTAATGAAAGTATAGTCTGTCAACAGCACATACTATGAAAGTATAGTCTGTCAACAGCACATATTATGAAAGTATAGTCTGAACACTGAAAACTCACTGAACACTAAGAGCATGTAGATATTAAATGAATATATCAAGGAGCACAGCCTGTAACACACCGGACCACAGGGACATGTTATTATAGATGAATACACAGGGACATGTTATTATAGATGAATACACAGGGACATGTTATTATAGATGAATACACAGGGACATGTTATTATAGATGGATAAGTCAGGTGATCAGTTTAATGTTAAAGATAAAGCATTTGAATCTATATACCATGTCATTTCACCATCTGTTGGATTTACTCGTAAAATCGGCAAACCTGAACCAGGATCAGACTTTTCCAGAGTTTTTAGTATTTTACGTTTTGCTTTTCCAGTAACAAGAACACTGATTTGCTTAGCTCGATTGATCACTGGCAAAGTCAAGGTCATTCGAAACACGGATTTCCAAGTCATTGCAACATATGATTTTAACGACAATGTTGGTTCGTTAGGGAAAAGAGAAGCAGTATGCCCGTCAGCACCAAGACCGAGCACGATATAATCAAACTGTTTATTTGCAATGTGATTTTTGATGGATTGTTCGTATATTGTATTCCCTTTAGACTCTAGGTCACAATTTCTTTTAATCTGAGACACAGGCATAGGATGGATATTATCATCAGGTATAGATATATGCCCATTGGAAAGGAAGTTCTTCAATAAGTGATGGAAGTTTGAATCCTCGCTTTCCCTTGACACACACCGTTCATCAACTTGCCAAATATGGACATGATTCAAAGACACATCAGACAAAAGTGCGGCTAAAATTTGAAAAAGCCTGATAGGTGACTTTCCTCCAGAAAAAGCTATGTGGAATTTTTGTGTATTTTGTTGGGATATTTTTGAAACTATGTCCGTGGCTAATGCTTTATAAAGTGTCTCTGACTCCGCTGTCACAAGTTTTCGACCCAAAAATGAGTTAGGACTAAAACTATCTGAAGCATCTTCTTTTTCAATATTTTTAACGTATTCCAAACTTGATCCAAAAATCTTAAAATCCAACACATTATGTTCGTCTCCATTTTCGTAAATTCTTGGTATTCTTTCAGTGGAATATTTTAAAATGTCTTCCCAGATCTTCCAAGAATCTACAAGATGAGATCCATCAATAAAACTCTCTTTTCTTCCATTAAAGGCATCCTGAATCAGTGAACTGTAGGCATCAATGTCATTAATCGGTACAGCACTGAAAAATTCTGAAAAATCTTTACCATAAATTTGTTTCTTAATTTCTAAATTATGCTCTGTATTGAAACCTTGTGGAAATTCTACAGTTTTGAAATATTTGGAAACCAGAATCATGGGTGATGGCAACCCTCCATGGCCAATGTGAAAAATAATTTGCTGGTTTTGATTCATATTTGGGCAATTGGACACACAAAAAATATTATTTTTGAAAATCACACGAGCATAACTTGTTCTTTCATTTAAACTTTTTCCTGAAACAAAAATAATTGGAACTCCATGCCATTTTGGTGATTCAATGGACAACAATGCTGCAGCAAAAGTTGGCACGAATTCAGCCAAATCTGGTGCTTCATCATTTGATTGGTCCAAATAGTCTTCATATTGTCCAATCAAAACAGACAATGGTGTTTCTATATTTTTCAGCAAATTCTGTTTCTGCTGTGGTATCTTGACACCATTTTCTTCCAATTCCATGGTAACAAGGAGAAGGACCTCCATTAAATGATTTTGAAGAACATCTCTGATGACACCATTATTATTGTAATAGCTAAATCTGCCTAAAACACAAAAACAAATCCATTATTCAGTGTCACACTATTATTCTGGGCCCAAAAGATGTTCAATACATACCCAATTCAGTCACCATATTGGGATTGTAAAATGGTTTTCTAAATTTTTTATGTGTATTGGTAGTATAAATTTGCACTATGACAATTTTTAATCAGACGTCTCTGGCTCTTGCAATTCCACTTAAACCAAGCGTTTTATGATGTCACCTTCGCTAAAGACCTTATGAACACACATGGATATGAAGGTTCAAATTTTGACGGTAAACTGTGAACACTATTACTGATTAGCTCAGCTAAGAAATTTCCCTTTCAGAGACTAAGGTATTAGATTTGAAGACATTTAGAAGTGGAGAGTAGATTTAACAAAAAAAACTAAAAGTGAGTTATACCATAATATACCCCTTGTGTTTTTTGTTATGATTAAGGTATAATTGGTCAAACGGATGGCAAACCTGTTCCTTTAATGTTTCGTACCTTTACAGTCCACTGTCTCTTTTAAAACCACCTCGATTCTCTCCACATGTTTATTATTTAATAACTTTTCTATCTCTGGATTCAGTTGTCTGTATAAAAATAAATAACAAAAAACCTATCAAAGAAAAACAAATATACTTAATACGTAATGAATACATTGAATTTCTCTGATGGATTCATGAACAGGATGTCAAATGGACAAAATAATTCACTGAATGGTATGAGGGTGTCCAACCTCAACTTCTTTCACTCTAAGTCTCTTTTATTTGATAAAGCTCTTGTTGCATGCTGCTCACCCATGTTTCAGATGTAAAACCATCATCAGTACTGGTACGGTGAGTTTGAAATTGGGATAAACTTTCAAATATTATAGATACTAGCTGAAATCTAATGAAGTTACTATAGAAGGAATTTAAGAAATCTACAAGAAGAATAGAATACAGTACATAAGACTCAATTCAAATCTATAGTTAGTAATGTTAAGGTGAAATGAGAATTTACTCATAGAAAGCACCGGCCTGTCTGAAACAAGGACTATTCATTTATAAGTTCTGGATAGCTTAGTAATGTTTTGTTAGTTTTAACAATGGTACCCACTTGTCGTGTGCAAATTCTGGAGATCACATTCTGGAAATCGGTTTGATATCAGTTTCAGTGTGAACACAGCTTATGTTAGCAGATCTCAATCTAGGTGTTTCTTTTCATAATTTTTCCATTTGCACGTTAAAACACAGAACAAAACGTCTAGATCTGCAAAAAACCTTACAAACCTAAATGGAAGAATTTCTCGAACAACAGATTTTCCAAGGTAATGATCGATCCTGTAGATTTCATCCTCTTTAAAATATTTCTCCAAATTTGTCTGGAGCTGAATAGCTGAGTTTGTATCATAGCCGAATGGTTTCTCAAACACAATACGGAAATTGATATTTTCTTCAACTGAATAACAGAACTTGTGGATATTTTCTGCAGTCCTTGTATAAAATTCGGGTGGAATTGAAAGGTAAAATATCACAGTTATAGCTTCATATTTTGTTACACTCCTTGAGTTTTTTAACAACTGTCCTAAATTTTTAAAATCTATTTCAGAAGCTAGTTGAAAATATGACACAAGACTCACAAATTTTTTTTTCTGGTCCACACAATTTTTCTTTTCACAAATGACATTCTTATCTAAAATTTTATTCAACTTTTCAGTAGCTGAATGTTTAGGAGATCGCCCACAACCATAAAAGGTAAAAGTATGATGATCTGAGCTATGTTTCTCATATAGATTAAAGAAACCCTGCCATAGATATTTCTGAGCCAAGTCTCCAGTGCTGCCTAATAGGATAATATCTGTATGTTCTGAATTTATAAATTGGAATGATAGTCCAAAAAAAGTTAATAGAGTTAAATAAACCATTTTTATGGTTACTTTTCTGGTTTTTGTCAAAAAAATTCCTGTTGGAGTTTATCTATCTGAAAAAAATAAATAGAACTATTAAAGATGGGTTTCCTTATTTTTTTAGTGTTGAATTAAGCAAATTTTTTGATTTGTATTTGTTCTTATTGCATATAATTAAGAGTTTTAACCAATCATAAATATCCATGTATGTACAGTCTGGATAAACAAAAAAGACTTTTTGACATTTCTTGATCCGTCACTCATTGGAATCTGCTGGTAATTCTCTTCTGATTTAGCAAACTATGAATTAATTATGGTCATGTGAGACAAACTGGTATTTTTCCAAGAAATTAGAACACCTCTACTTTCTATTCATAATTTCATTTAAGTATTAGCATTTTCATTGTCATAAATGCAAATAAGGGAACCCATCTTTAAAACTATTATATCATATATAATATTATGACAATAAATCATCACATTTGCAAACAATTTTTTTGTGAACCAGTAAAGTTTCAGTTTTGTTATTCTTAGTTACTTCCTTTTACCCATGAGCAGAAAAGATTGGAAAATCAAAACAACAATCTAGTGTCAAATATGCGATTCAGTGACTTGTTTAGGGTCAGATAGGGGTGGCCATATGTTGATCAAGGTCCAGCTGTCTTTATTAGGGCTTTTTTTTAACTTTTAGGTTTCGTTTTTGCTTTCCGGCATTCTCGGTAAATCAGTGCCAGTAGCGAAAGTGAAACTAGAACGGTTCATGACTAACTATCCACTTCGTTGCTATTTCACAAAAATATTATATTTCCTGATCTGATCATTATCTTTGATGCAGTTACTCATATCATCACACATTCATACACTTCAATACAATAAATAATCCGCTTCTGAATATGTATAATTAAATATGCCAACTTACTTATGGAAGCTGACATCTTTGAAAAAAGCTACATTCATTATATTTGCAACAGTTTCGTATAAAGGCTAAAACGATTTATTTTGCTCAAGATAAATGAATTTGCATTCAAAAACATACTGAACTTTGAAGCGAAAGATTTTACGTTCATAACTGTTCGATACATGATCCAATCTTTTAGAAAATGGAAAATATATCAACGAATACGAAACTATCTAAGATATTTTATAGCTCTAAATGAGTGACCTTGAACTTTGAACTGATAGTAAATATAAAGATAAGAATGGCCTCTAAGAAAATTGGAAAGATTCTTTTAAAGAATTCGGCTTTATTTCTGTGTGACATGCAAGAAGGGTTCCGAAAAACGATTCAGTTTTACCCCCAGATTTTGAACGTGTCAAATCGAATGTTGTCGGCTGCTAAGGTTCTAGAGATGCCAGTCATTGTTACAGAGCAGTATCCAAAAGGTTCGTCTGCTTCTGTCTGTCAAAGAAGGTTGCAGTTGGTTGCTTTCAAATCTACTTCACTTTTGCCTGTTCATAACTTACAAACAGGTTTTTCGCATGCGTTTTTCAACCTTGGCTATTTGGCTTTGGTCCTACTGCTTCTTAATCGCGAATTTTGTAGAGTGGTAATCCTGAACTTGGAGGCTTGTCTGTATTTGCCTTTACTGTGAAGATCTGACATTTTTCAACCTTGGTTATTGGGCTGCGGCTCTACATTATGGAGAATCTGATTGGCCTATTGAAGTAGTCAGTATCCTGTCTATTCTGGCCTTAACTATGATGTGATTATGAGACAGATTATGAGACATGTCGGATGTGTTTACTCAGTTTACTCAAATGTGAAAGAAGCCTAACATCTGATCACAGTTCCTTTACTCATTTTCTTAACTTAAGTTGTTTTCTTTTCAGGACTGGGCCCAACAGTTCCTGAATTAGATGTCAGTCCTTATAAAGTTTTCCCGAAGACCAAATTTTCCATGATTTTACCAGAAGTAGAAGAGGAATTGAAGAAAACACCAGGTAGGGGTAATTTTGGTAGGGCAAACAGAAGGTTGGGATGGGGGAGGGGGGTTTTTGGGTCAGACAATGGATAATTTAGTGATCAACTATTGACCTAAGGAAATGGAAAATGGAGTTACATGTCCTACTCATGTGGCTAATGAAGGCAGTGTGCAATGGTGGGAATTTAACTGGGGTTTCTACATTTTGCCATATTCATAAAACAGCTTAAAAAAAACATTTCGAAGTTTGGTTTTTCATGTTTCATGCAAAAGTGTAATGATAAAATTATTCAGATAAACTCTGTATCTCTGTATACATTTTCATAATGTGACGCTATTTAAACTTTGTCTTATACTGGAATAGCTGATCTTTCTTGTATCACAGAGATTTGTAAATGCAGTGATTTTATTAATACAGCCAATCGGAGCTCTCTTACGAAAGTTGGTAAACCAAAAGCCATAATGTTTACTACTTTTAACTTAAGTCTGGGACTCTGATTTTTGTATTCGCTACCGTACAATCCTATTACTGTATTCTGTATTTAAGGTGGCTATAACAGTCAAGGTGTAAGATGAAGTTGGTAATAGTTTGACATTGTGAAGATGGAATGTACACCGTTTTTTTCTGCATATATTTTACTGTAATTGTAGATATAAATACTGTTGTATTGTGTGGTATAGAAACACAAGCCTGTATACAGCAAACTACTCTAGATTTATTAGAACAGGGTTTTAACGTACATGTTATAGTGGATGGATGTTCTTCACGTAGTATGGTAGATAGGTAATTGCTTTGTGTTTATAACTTTACTGGCTGTCAATATGTTTTTCGCCGACTATACTTTCATTGCATGTACTTTTGATAGACTATACTTTCATTGCATGTACTTTTGACAGACTATACTTTTATTGCATGTACTTTTGACAGACTATACTTTTATTGCATGTACTTTTGACAGACTATACTTTTATTGCATGTCTTGTTGACAGACTATACTTTCATTGTATGTCTTGTTGACAGACTATACTTTCAATGCTTGTCTTGTTGACAGACTATTCTTTCAATGCTTGTCTTGTTGACAGACTATACTTTCATTGCATGTCTTGTTGACAGACTATACTTTCATTGCATGTCTTGTTGACAGACTATACTTTCATTGCATGTCTTGTTGACAGACTATACTTTCATTGCATGTACTTTTGACAGACTATACTTTCATTGCATGTACTTTTGACAGACTATACTTTCATTGCATGTACTTTTGACAGACTAAACTTTCATTGCATGTACTTTTGACAGACTAAACTTTCATTGCATGTACTTTTGACAGACTATACTTTATATAAAGTGACATTGATAAGACTCAAGCATTTATTAAAGTGAAGCCACAATTTATCACTGTATACACCATTTTATGACAATAGTTATATAGCAACCTTTGGTAATACTTGTACTGGTTTGATCCAAAACACAAATATGAGCAGTTCACTTTATTTTAGGTAGTGTAAGACTGTAAGTAGTAATGGACAGAATACATTTTAAGGCATCTTTGAAGACCAATAGATAGATTAGCTATTTTATGCATTTGTGAGTCAGGAAGTTTAGTTGAACTGATTAGGCTAATCATCCTAATGGTCCGATGATGTGGTTAAGCGATTAGATTATTCTCATCAAAGATGGCAGCATTTGGAAGTTCAACAATAATAATAATAATAATCAAAATAGATGACTTTCTTTTGTTGTCAAATTGCCAAATCAAAACCAAATCAAATTGGCCGACAAAAACGCCTCTAGCTTGACTATATTCAATTTGTATTTTGTTCTACCCAAAGAAAGCAGACTTCTAATGAGCTATGACCTGGATGAGCACAAATATTTTTGCCCATTAATTAACTCATTAATTTGATATGCATTTTCCAACGTCCATCAACCTAAAATAAGATTCTTTCACGGTCTTCAGTAAAGTGTGGTTTATTCCTTTACAGAATGTTTGCGTTTGACAGAATGAAAGAAGCAGGTGCCTATTTAACAACCTGTGAAAGTATGATGTTAGCCTTATGTCAGGACGCCAAACACCCGAAATTTAAACAGATTCAGAAACTAATTTGGGAGCCTTCCCCTGATAGTGGACTGCTAGCTACCCGAGATAATGGTACACCAGTGTAAGAACCAGATGCCACTCATAATATTTGGTTGATGTAATTTTGTTATATTACAATGGAGACAAATACCAGTTAAACAAATAAATTGTAATCTTATATTAGATTGGAGATAATGATAACCAAATGTAAGGACAAGATGCTAGTTAATATATTGCTGAAACTTGATTTGTTTTATAAATGAAGATGAAAAAAATAGCCAAAAAAAAGAAAGAAACTGAAATTTTTTTGATCTTCTGATAGCTAATTTGTTTGAAAGGGGAAGTTTTTGCCAGCTTCAAATTAAAAATAATTGTCAAAGAATCAGGTCATTCTTCTGATTTATTAATACTCTAAACACTGTAAAAGTTTTTTTTTAATGAATTAATTTAAAATTAATAGAGAAAGCCATCTTTGTTTTATGAATTTTATTTACTAATATTAATAAAATTGTTAAATACAATATTTCTTTTAAACAATAACATTCACTTTAAAGGGATTGTAAAGAGGTTTTCTAAATTTTCTATGTGTATCAGGGACACTTTCAGTCAAACTAATGTGGTTCTTGCATTTCTACTTAAACTGTGCATTTAATGGTGTTACTATTGCAAAGGCCATATATGTAAAAAGTAGCATTTGTGATAATGTGCTTACTTTTAGTGAAATTGCAAGAGCCACAGACATCTGACTGAAAATAAGAATGGGGCCAATTGATGCTATCAGTGTCCCTGATACACATATATAATTTAGAAATGAAATGAATAGAGTTTTACGTCCTACTTTTCTGCACCATGTGTGCTAATGAAGACGGATATAATTTAGCTGTTTACAATCCCTTTAACTCTGTATTTAGACAAATTAAAAGAAATGTGGTTTATTCCTTCTTTAATTATATTATGAGATTCAAGTCTCATTTATAGTAATTTCTACTGAGAAATTCACCACAGAGCAGATTTCAAGGGAAAAAATTTTGATGGAAAGCAGCTTCTACCACACAAACATTGAATAAGTCAAGCTAAGATATTTTTACTTAGACAGATTTCTCTTTAAGTCCTGTCTTGTGTTTTGAAATGTCCTGATTTGGTTAGTTTCGTATTCAAATCACACAGTTGTTGTAGGAAGCCATCATTAGGACACACCTCTCTTTTACTTCTGACCAACCGTAATGCATCTTGAGCTGTCATGTGATGTTTGATCATTAGATATGCTATTACTATGGTGGCTGAACGACTCACACCTTGTACACAATGGACATAAACTCTACCTAAAAACAGACAACATAATTGGAACAATTTAAAGGGATAGTGAAGAGATTTTCTAAAAGTCTTACGTGTATCGGGGACACTGATAGCATCAATTTGTACTATGATTCCAATTTTCAAAAAGGCGGAATTTCAGTATACAGACGTCTGGTTGTAAATTGGAATGGTGCAAATTGATTATATCAGTGTCCCCGATACATATAAATTTTTTTTAGAAAACCTCTTTACAATCCCTTTAAAGATCATTGATTGGCTGAAATGGAAGACCAATTCTGCCTGAGACTCTACAGAATTTTTAGAGATTGTATATAGCAATCACTTTCAACTTTCCTGCCAGTCAGAATCACTTTTACAAGTATCTACAATCTCATAGAAAAGACAAGAAAAGAACTTTCCTAGTTTGAGATTTTTTTGAAAAAAATGATGCGATTTCCTTAAATTTCTAGTACTTCTGAAGACATTTACATATATTCAAGACTAAAATCAACAACCCAAAATGGTTCAAGTGTCCCTTTAAGAGTTGTTTTTTCTATGATTCTATAATGATTTCTATAAATACTCACCGTCTTTCTGTAAAGCATCATGTATAAATTCAGCACAAGAATAGAAATAAAGTGAGAGGTCAAAGTTCATCTGGTCTGTAGCTTCGATACCTTTAAACTGGATATCGTATTTCCTGTACATCACATGATTAGAGTTGACATGATATCTGGTTTTACCCAGCGCTGTGTTTAAAATGTGGGTTATTCTCAGTTTTTTTAACGTTGAAGGACTCTTGGCCACAATTCTACAAAAAATGTTGATATATGGATAAAAATAAAATGATAAAATTCAGCTTAAATTGTAGGAGAACTGTACATTAGATTTTAATTCTGAGAAGAGATACAGATAAGTTTACTAAGGGTCACAGAATTATCAAGGAGAGATTGCTATAGGGTGCCCAATCCTATTGTGTAAATAAATAAGGGGTTCAGGGCAGCCCGTCAAAGAATTCATTGGTGCTGGGGCTCAGATTTTGTATTAAAACAAAGCATATCTTTTTGATTTTCTACAAAGATACTGTTGAATTGAAGGATTTGCTGGGGCTTAATTCTCTCTTGCTGGGGCTTAATTCTCTCTTGCTGGGGCCCGGCCCCACATATCCCACCTTAATGATGGGGATGGCTCAGGAGGAAATCTTTTCCTATAGAAAATGCTAAACAAAGTTTATCTAGGAGAGGGCAAAGCTTGGGGGGTTGGCTTCTCCCCCCAAAAAGAGAGGCTAATGGATGGTATATAACTTACCCCTCTCCTAGCACTATCCCAGGAAAAACTTCATCACAATCTGTACTAGGTAAGAGCACTGGTCCTCCAGTAGAGGCTGTGATTATATTCATTAATTCATCTATAGAACAGGGTGGGACCTCTTCAATTGATTGACAGGCCATTCTATAAATGCCACGCCCCTTTATTTAGAATATGCAGTTATAATATTGTTCCAGTTATTCATTCAAACATTATTCTTTGTTTTTGAGCACCTTTTGATTACTGGTTCCTGAAGAAAAAAATATACTTGTACATAAATACATGGTAATAAGTATGATTTACATAACGACATAAAGTGGTTGTCCTTCCATTTCAAAATCTGTATCAGTTATACCTGAAATCACAAGATTTATTTGATACTTGTATAACCTAGGTTCCAAACTGGGGTACTAATACAGCTCTTTGAGGTGTCTGGAAACCTCATTAAACCTTTCTTGAAATGTATTGTTGCAGGCTTTGATAAAATTATTGGGAATTTTTTAATTTTTTTGCCAAAGTTTCCAAATTTCTCAGTTCTATTAGGTTTTTGTAATTATGTAATCCACACAGCTAAAATGTTGAAATAACTTCCATATATCACAGAAATAACCTTTAATTACATATTTATTCACATATACCGGTACTTCAGAATGTATCATTTCAAAGTTAAATTTTCATTGTCTCGCTCAGAATACAACTAAATTCAACTGTATGCTGAACGAGACAATGGAAATTTAAATTTGAAATGATACATTCTGAAGTATATGTGAATAAATATGTAATCCAAATGAATCACTGCATTAACAATCTTCCATGATACACAAAAGATGACTATTGCAGTCAAAGTATTAGACTCAGATCGTAATAGCTTGACATTGTGAAGGTGTTTGGTATGGACTGCTTTCAATTATCAATGTAAAATTCCAAATGAAATACTCCACTCTGTGATTGGGTTCTTCAAGTTAGCATCTCTATAAAATCCATAAAATACAACAGTTAATGATTTTATCAATTCAATTTATTAACAATATATTCATTTTCAAGCTCATCTTAGCTTAAATAATCAAAACAAAACAAAAACTTAACCTATTGTCTTTGCATTCTCATAGGTAATTTTCAATTTCAATTTTACCCATTATTTTTATCAGGATGGGTATATCAGATTCAAAATAGTTCTTTTAGTCTTAGAATTATTTTACATTGGTGAAAATATAAACATGAGCATGTGATATTGCTTTGAAATTTGATTTTTATAGAGGACAATTTTCAATCAAAGTATGGGATTTTTTGCATTTTAAATTTTAAGAGTGAAATATTATTATATCAAATGTTACCTTGCAAAACTTAATTTTTTTATCAAAGCAAAGTCAATCTAAGACAATCAGAACTGTTTTTTATGATGTATTTATACTCAATTAACAATAATCATTAAAATTTGATTTACCAATCAGAGTGCCAGACAATTAGTAATTAAAAAACTTGATACTGTCACATATAATTCATTAGAATTGATGAAAGGGGAGCCAGTATAAATAATAAGACAAAATGGAACAAAATGTCACATGGTAAACTTCAGCTTTCCTTGACATTCATTCCCACAGAATCTTAAAAAAAAAAATTAATATAAAAATAACACGATTAGGTAATTTGCAAGAAAAAAAAGCACTTGATTTGCAAAAAAGTGCACTTTACATCAGGAAAAAATTAGCTGAACTCAACTGGAGACTAGTAAGTCGAAAAAAAAGTTTAATCATTAATGGGCAAAGATCCATTTTCTCAACAAATCTAAAAATCATTTCGAGTCTCACATACCTTCAATGTTTTTTTCACATAAAATTTCATATTCAACAAGATTGTTTGTTAAATGGGGGCCAGTTGTATATCAAAGGAACAGTACTTTCTTTTTGACTAATCATACTTGAGTCTTAGAAATAGAATTCTTTAGCTAGGCCAATCAATAATAGTGTTCACAGCTTACCGTCCAAATTTAGCCTTCATAGCCATGTGTGTCCAGAATTATCCGTGTTTGAATGTTAAATTGAAGACTGGTCAATTTAAGATATTCTGTGATATATAGAAATAGTGAGTATAATTCCTAGTTTGAAGTAATTATGGAATTATTTACATTTCTAGTACTTCTGAAGTCTATTCAAGATTCAAATCAACTCCCCAAAATGGCACATCTGTCCCTTTAAGAAGTTTGAGGTCTCTTGATTTGACAGTCATATCGGATTCAATATCTTAATTGTCCAGTGAGAATTTGGTTAAGACTTTTTTAAAACCCATGAAAGTCAAATTTTCCCTAGCTTCGCAATGTCAGGCTATTATGAACTTGACTGCAATATTCACCATTCTTTTATGAAGGAATGGAGAGATTTGATTGGATTATATCCTAAAGAATACAGGCAATGAGAGCCCTTGACTGTTAAATTTCTGTCAATGGTTCTTAATGTATTCGAAGCATTCAATCCAATCAAATAACTGCAGTTACAAATCTCGTTGATACAAGAAAGGTGGATATTGCAGACATGGTAAACGAAGTTCACAATATTCTGGCATTGTGAAGATGAATGTTCCTTCACTTCATGATTTGTAGAAATGTCACTGAGACATGGGTGTCAACAATAAATATGGGTGGTTTTTAACCCTTTCAACCCGGCCACACAATGACACAATATATACCCAAGTTGCAGGCATACAATGTTAATGTCAGACACTTTAACTCATATTACTTGGAGATCAGGGTAAATGACTTTTACTCAGGGTTCAAAGGGTTAACATGTATCCAGCAACTAGTTACAGAATCTTTTTATCTATTATACATATTTATATTTATACAAGGATGTTAACCCTTTCAATCCTAGCAGCCACACAATATATACTGAACCACAATATGAGGCAGTATATACTGTATCACAATATGAGGCAATATATACTGTACCACAATATGAGGCAATATATACTGTACCACAATGTGAGGCAATATATACCTGTACCACAATGTGAGGCAATATATACCTGTACTACAATGTGAGGCAATATATACTGTACCACAATGTGAGGCAATATATACTGTACTACAATATGAGGCAATATATACTGTACCACAATGTGAGGCAATATATACCGTACCACAATATGAGGCAATATATGCTGTACCACAATATGAGGCAACATATACTGTACCACAATATGAGGCAATATATACCTTAAACCACAATATGAGGCAATATATACAGTACCACAATGTGAGGCAATATATACCTGTACCACAATATGAGGCTATATATACTGTACCACAATATGAGGCAATATATACCTGTACCACAATATGAGGCTATATATACTGTACCACAATATGAGGCAATATATACCTGTACCACAATATGAGGCTATATATACTGTACCACAATGTATGTGAGGCAATATATACTGTACCACAATATGAGGCAATATATACTGTACCACAATATGAGGCAATATATACTGTACCACAATGTGAGGCAATATATACTGTACCACAATGTGAGGCAATATATACTGTACCACAATGTGAGGCAATATATACTGTACCACAATGTGAGGCAATATATACTGTACCACAATATGAGGCAATATATACCTGTATGAGGTTGAAGGCACACAATGTTGACGTCGTACACTTATATTACTTGGAGTTCAGGGTATATGATGTTTTATTTATTTACACTCAGGGTTCAAAAGGTTAGAGTAGTAGGAAAGTTAAACTCTACTGAGACCATCACCAGAGGTCAGTGTATGAGATATCAATCAACGAGGCTGTGACTGGGAAATCGTACGAGCAGCCTTTATCATATTTTGTTCCTTCGTAATCAGCGAGTTGATTTTTTCCTTTTTCTCTTCTGTGTTACATATAATAACAAAATTACTGCCATGTTTCCTTGCACGCCCTCTAATCTGAACTAACGCTGTAACATTTGATGGAGGGTTCAAACTAACGACTAATTGGCATGCTGGGATATCAACACCCTCCTCGGCGACTGACGTAGCGACCACTATGTTAAATTTGTTGGACTTTATTCCTTCTAAGGTTCGTTTTTGCTTCTGAACTCTCATACCACTTTCACTTCCCTTCCCATGACCTACTAAATGAGTCACCTTCAAGTGAGTTAAAGTGTTTTGTAAAAGTTTACTTAGTTTTTTCGCGGAGCTTCGCATCTGTACCAAAACCAGCGCCATGGCAGATTCTTCAGTGAAGTTTATATATCCTGGGTTATTTAACGTGTGGATAAGCTCTCGGAAAGCGGCAGAATGTAAGGCATTCTCTGCAATGCCCCCACCAGGCAGTTTCTTAGAATCGATATAAGTCCTAATACATTGAATCAAACCATCACATGGAATACCATATTCTTTAACCAAATTGAAATTATCTCCCCTTCCAGGCCCCAGCATCTTTTGCAGCTCTGGCATAGCGAAGTTCAATGACCCAGTTTCCAAATCTGAAATCGCTTGTAAGATTTTCTTGATATGGAGTCGCAGTAGATCAACACCAACTTTATCTTTATCATCTTTTGCATTCATATAATCAATGATATAAGAAACTGTGTGCTGTGCTTCATCATCTAATTTCTTTGCCATCGATTCAAAACTGCTGATGTCATTCTCACGAGTTGGAAAACCTAACACTTTGTGATTATATCCACACAAGTCTGTCAGCTTTCTGAAACAATGAAAAAGATGAATCTTCAACTGAATTTCAAATGTTTCTTCTTCTTGTGTGATTGGATGACACAGGATTTCTAAACGGGCAGTTGATTGAAATTTGTCCAATTCTTTCAACTCAGTGCTGCCCTCTGTAATTCCAACTCTCACGTCTCCCAAATTCTGTAACAGTGTTACCAACATTTCTATGGTTTTTTCAACGGTATCACAGCCAGCAGGAGATGCAGTCAATCCTAGTAATTTAGGTCGATCTTGGACGTCCAGTACTTTGTGGGAGTTGTTTATCAAGGTCGCGTAAGGGTGACGTTTGACGCAGTGATGAACCTCGTCCATGACAATCAGACTGAAATCACTCCAATTAATCACTTCTTGACAAATCAGATTGTCGCAAAATGCTGAAAAAGAGAAAATATCTTTTCACAAAGTCATCAAATTTTGAGCAAAACTTTAGTTGGATATCAAAAAGTAACCATGAACAAGGATATTTCTGGGTTTTTTTACTGTTTATGGTGCGTTTATGGATTGTTCTATCATCTGCAAGACAACCTGTCATCATCCAATCATTTATTTTTCTTTCAATTGCATGATCCGGACATAATTATGGACATAGCTTAAAACCCCCTGGAGATTTTTGTCTCCTTGATGCCTGCAGCTGGGCATTGAAATTCTTTGACATGACTCTAAGAAACCAAAAATATGTTAAAATAGTGCTCAATACATCAATTGTAGAGAGATATAGAAATACCACTGTTAAAATAGTGCTCAATACATCAATTGTAGAGAGATATAGAAATACCACTGTTAAAATAGTACTCAATACATCAATTGTAGAGAGATATAGAAATACCACTGTTAAAATAGTACTCAATACATCAATTGTAGAGTGATATAGAAATACCACTGTTAAAATAGTACTCAATACATCAATTGTAGAGCTATATAGAAATACCACTGTTAAAATAGTGCTCAATACATCAATTGTAGAGTGATAGAGAAATACCACTGTTAAAATAGTGCTCAATACATCAATTGTAGAGAGATATAGAAATACCACTGTTAAAATAGTACTCAATACATCAATTGTAGAGAGATATAGAAATACCAGTGTTAAAATAGTGCTCAATACATCAATTGTAGAGTGATAGAGAAATACCACTGTTAAAATAGTGCTCAATACATCAATTATAGAGAGATATAGAAATACCACTGTTAAAATAGTACTCAATACATCAATTGTAGAAAAATTCCAACTCTTTTCGGCAATCATCTCTATAAAATAAGTATCATAGTTTGAATAATATTACCTGCAGTGGTGATGATAATATCGTGCTTCCATAATGGTATTTTTTCAAGTTTTGAGATTCCCCCGCTTAATACCGCTATTTTTAACTCCCGTTCGACAAGATCATCATTTATTTCATCAATTGCTTGTGGTCTAAAAAAAAAACAAAAAATATTGTCAAAAAATATAAATATTGCTATTTATAGGGTCAATATGCAAAATTTTCATTATAAACACATTGTATATTCACTCTAATTAAGATTAGACCAAACTTTCATTCTGTTTTGTATTAGCTTTTATTATAACCACTTCAGTTAGGGTCTAAAGACTGGCCTTTTAAACATTTTCTTTAAAATAACCTTTTGACCTCACCCTGCTTTAACCAATCAAATTTCTGCCCTCTCCAGCGCTGGCATTTTATGAGGGAGTGAAGGAATTTGATTGGTTAAGCAGATGTCATCAGATTAGGTCTAAAGGTTAATTTGACCAAAATGTTAAATAGGCCAGTCTGTAGACTGTAAGTGAGGTGGCTATATCAAAATAAAGGCTAATAACAATCAAATTTGAATTAGACTGAATGTAAAAACAGATTGCAATAAGATTCAATTCTCCATACTAAGGACAAATAAAAGTTTTGGCACTACTACTAAAAATATGTCCAATCAAAAATTACATCTGGTTGCAGATCCATCCTTCCAATATGCCTTGCTTTGATTGGTTCAAAATAAAATCATTAGAACAGGAGTTGAGCAGAAAACATTTTAGATTACAATGGAGACAAAACTATCAAAAAACAAAGTATCAAATTTGTAATATTATCTTAATATCAGATTGTATATTTACCTCTCATAAAGTTTCTTGCCCAACTCTTTGATAATATACAGAGCTTGTTGTATTACTAACAATGTCTTATCTACTAGGAATAGAACAGGACGTGTCGGGTTATTCTGTAACATGGCCGATATCACCATGACACTAACTAGAGTTTTACCAGTTCCTAAAATACATACGTCAGATGTTCAATCAAATAATATGTGAACTCTCCAAAAGCGAACCACAGTGGACATATCCAGTCTTCTAGAGAATTGAAAACAATAGTAAGTTCTATCCATTACTCAAAATTAAAAAAAAATTGGCAAAATAAGTGAAAAAAAAACCTGAATATGTCAATTAAAAAGATGCATTACCTCAGCGGGCCCTTGTGGTTTCCCAGTATTGATTAAGAAATGAACATAACGTTAGGATGCATGTGATATCAATACTTAAAGAGGCTTCTCTGACATGCTCCCCCCTCAACCTCCCCCAGGTGGGCACCACATAGAGCGTTAAGGTACAGTATTGAAATGAAGCTTGTAAAAAAAGAAAATAAATATTTACCAGTTGGTAGAAAACACACATGATCTGAACTCATAGCTTTCCAAAACAATTCGAGTTGATAAGATCGAGGTTTAGTTGACGTCAAATCGTCACTTGAAACTGCTCCACGGCGAAACTGAAAACAGAATGAATGATTTGAAACACCATTGTCATCAAAATTAACTGTTTAAGAGTCTCTAAATTTTCTTATACTCTAATAAGTTTTATTTGATAATGATATTACAAACTTCTAATACCTTGACTGCAATAGCCAGCTTTCTGGTATCACATAATGTAACGATTTATGGTTTCCAGCGAAAACAGCCAATCAGAGCCCTCATTTTGCTGGATTTATGGCTGATTGTGTTCACATACTTTCTGTCAGGGACACTAATTGGCTGTATGCAGTTGCGTACAAGCCAATCAAAGAAAGGTGGCTATTGCAGTCAAGGTGTAAGTACCATTTCTTATACTTACTAACATATGTTCATGTGAATCCGAAAAAAAGATGGCTAGCAAATACCAATTCAAATTTTAAGCAAAAATAAAGAGAAATAATGCCTGCAGGGAAAATCTTTATATTTTATTTCTTTTGTGTTTTTTTAAGCCTCAAAAGGTTGTTAATTGGTTTTTTTAAACTCTGTATGTGTATAGGGAACACTGATAGAATCAATTTGCATCATTCTATTTTTCAATCAGACGTCTGTTATTGCTGCAATTCCACTAAAAATATGCATTTGATGACCAAAAATTATTGCCCTTAATCATAAAAGACCCTTTGAAATATTCATAAAAATGCAGGAACTGCAGATGTCTGTTTAAAATTGGATTTGTTCCAATCAATGCTAACAATGTCCCCGATACACAAAATAGTTTAAATAATTCTCTTTACAATCACTCTAAAATAAAAAATTCACTTACTGATTTCTGAATATGTGGATGTGATACTTTCGGGGCTTTCATTTCTGACACTGTTAGTAGATGACGGGCTCCATTCTTGTGGTCTGTTAGAGCTTTCTCTGTGTTACAATTAACTTGACAGATTTGACAGAAAAATTTATGATGCATGGATCTTTGAGATTTCGGTACTCCACTCTGCTGGAACAGTTTCTGAGATTGATTTTCAAATGACGAATAAGTGGATTCAGCCAATGACATAACATCTTGGTGATCATGTGATGTCTGTTTTCTTTCTGCAAGTTGTCGAGCATGCTCTTGCTCTGACGCTGTAGAACGTAAACTCATCTTTTCACTAGCGCCATCATCATTTTCTGCAGAATCAAGTTTAAATTCAGAATTGATTTGAAAATTTTCAGATTCTGCATGTTCTTCAGAATTATTTCCAAATGTCATTTTAGATTTTTTATTTTGAAGATTTTTTAATGGGGAAGGCTTTTTTATCTTCTTTCCAAAGACTGCAGCGTCATCTCCGAAAAGATTTGCTCCACTTTCCTCATCAAAATCTTCCTCAGAGTCACTGAAGGTTGTGGACGTGTCGTCGGGTATGAGGCCATGCCCCTTAATTTGTTTGGGCATGACTGTTGACTTGGGTTGTGTTCTGATAAGATTGGCGTTAGGAAAATAATTAGGAAGGCTTGAATCCATGACTACATCTGGTTGATTTTTCGAACTCAGCATTTGTTTCGATCGTGCTGAATCGCCGCTTCTATTTTGGTTTAGATAACAGCCACCATTATTTACTCCCTCTTGACCATAACTTCCATTGACAGCTCTAGCTCCAGATGTTTTTGTTACATTGTTACCAGTCAAGGGATAAGGATGGTCTGATGATGATATTGGTGAGTCATTTCTCAAGTATGCAAACTGCACTGTACTTTTAGGCAGCGTTTGATTTCGTGACATCCTTTCTTCTGCTAATGGCTGATTGTTGATGGAAGTTTGTTGACGTAAGTATGCTGCAGATGTCTGTTCTTGATTTGATCTCTGTCTTTGTAAAAAATCATGGAGTGAATTGGCCATTGGTTTTGGTGAGTTCTCATCTGGAACTGTGTGTCCAACATTTCTATTACTATTAACCTCTCCAGATTGTTCTACAGATAACCGGGTTCCATTTCTCGTCTTTCTCAATAGAATGGCTTCCTTTCTTTCTTGCAGTTTTTGCATCTGCCTCTCAATTATTTCCAACTCTTGAACTGATCTGTTATTCGCAGAGTCTAATTCCAGCTGACTCATCAAATGGTCTAATTCTTGTGAATTGATACTTGATACTTCACTGTTACTGGCTTGAATTTCTCTTGCCGCTTTTTTAGCCAAATGTTTTGGGGTCGTTTGATGTTGTCTAAGTTGTTGCATTGTATTCAAGGGGCACTCGCATGTCTCACACCAAACCCACTCAGTTCTGTCTAAAGGGTTGAGTGGATTAGTCGCCCACTGATTCCCAGAGCTTCCTCCTGCCATAGACATTTTCATGGCTACCTTCTGCTGATGTTTTGTAGAAGTGAAATGTTGTTGGGCTGGTTCTTGTCCAGATAAATTAATAGCACAGACCTCACAAGATAAAGGGTATTCATGTCCAGTGTTAGATCCTTGGAAACGCTGTGCAGCTTTGGTATGTTTTGAACCTGCCAGGTGCTGCTGGGCATGACTTGCTGAAGTTAGTTCAATATCACAAACGAAACATCTTCCTCGCCCATTTTCAAAAATATATGTTTCAGGATCGTTTTGTTGTGAGTTGTTCCTCTCAAAATTAGAATTGGGTACAGGTCTGCCGGAAACTTGCCCTTGTCTAAAAACAGGAGCTGAATTTTTTCTCATGGCAGCTTTGATATGTTTGGATCCATTAATATGCTGATCTTTATGAGCTATTGATGTCAGTTGAATATCACATAAAAAACAGTAGCCTGTGCTTCCATTGAACTTGTACTCTACTGAATCCAATCTGGGGTTCATCATGGCGCTGTGTCCAGGTAGATCAGATGATATTTGATAGGTTGTATGGATATTGCTGCTTTGACCAACATTAGATAGAAGTTTATTAGCATGAGCTACATTATCACTTTCCATTGCATGACTATGAAAATTGGTTTTAGGCAGCATGGCACGTTTTTTGTGTTTTTCGCTGTTGTAATGTTGCAGAGCATTCAAATGACCAGTAAAGGGCACATGGCAAACATCACAGAATGTATCTTCATCCTTAATTTGGTTGTCATCTTCATCACTCTCTGGCCCATGCCACGGATTTCCAGACAACAAGGATCTAATCTGCTCCACAGAAACAATGTTACTTCCTGGTGCCTGAAATATCTGTCTGTCTAAATTTGAAGAAAGAGGGTGTTCATTGGAGGAATCTGAAATCGTTGAATTGTCCCCAAACAAAGACGCCTTTTTCCTGTGTTTATCACTGTCTAGATGTTGTCTCATATTGTCTGCACATGTCACAGAAATATTACAAACAGAGCATGTTAAATTATCAGTTGGAACATCTGGTGAACAAGGCGCAGCAAAACCAATATTTGTTGAAGTTGGTTCAGCAAAACTTACATTTCCACCAACTCCAGAACCACTGTAGGCAAGTTTTCTCTTTAAATGTTTTTGCCCTGATAGATGCTGCTTGGCATGAGCCAGTGAAGTCAGTTCTATTTCACAAGCAAAACACTTTCCCCTTTCAGCTCCATTATCAAAACAATATTCCTGCCCAGCCCCAACAGCTTCTTCTCTTATGTCCGGGGCACAGCTGTACCCTTTGCTTCTACGAACTCTCTCTCTATGACGAAGACTGGAGTTGTGTTCTTGAAAACTCTGAATACTGTTACATTGACAGTTGCAGATTTCACAGTATAAAGGGGATTGATTAAACCCTTGAACTACGGCAGCCTCCCTTTTTCTATGGTCAGAACTTTGGTAGTGATCCTCTGCAGATTTCAGGCTTGTAAAAGGCTTCTGACAAATTCGACAATAATTTAACATATTTGACATTTTTCCTTTTCCTATCTAATCATGTGATAACGATGGAAATTCCATACAACTTCTCAGAAAGAGAAATTTTGTTTATCCTTTCTTGAAAAACGAAAGCGAAAGTAGAAAATAAAGTTGTATGAGTATCGAGATTTCGCCACTTAAACGTCATGTGAAGCTAGTACAGTTTCGAAAAACACGGTTATATCTCAATTATTTCTACTAATTCAACTAAATTCCTTTCTCTTGTTTTGTCAGCGTTGCCTGATGTTAGGGGGAAAACCCAAGACTGATACGTCATTAATGTCAAGGACACTTCCCAATCGGGGAATAGAGTGAAATTTTCGAAGTTTTACCTTTTCGCGATGAAATTCACAAATGTATTGGACTTGGTTATTAATAAAGAAACAAAATCCTCACCACTTACCGTTTTCAAACTTTATCTTTCAATATTTGTCGTTAAGAATTCAAAAAGACAAAAATATTCACAAATTGCATTCGGAAGACAACATAGAATGCGAAACTAAATTCACCAGCTCTCTTCTAATTTTCGTACTTTTCTAGCTTCACATTGATTTGTTTTGGATACATCAAACATGGCGTCGAATTCAAGCGAAGAAGTAAGCTTTTGCTGAAATAGGATTTCTTATGATGTTATTGAGCTTTATAAACCTTCACTTTTGTCAAGAAATCTGTGTTACGACATTTTGTTTTCGTTGTTAATGCCAATTTGCTTGAGCCATTTAAATACGACTTTTACATTATTTTTTGTTTTGAAAAAGTAATTAAAAAAAAAATGAGAATACTGAAGTCATTGACTTGTTATATTTTCAGGTAATAACTGAGTTACTAGATCAACAATCAATTAAAAAAGATAAAGATGTGGAGGAACTTTATTTAGCAAAGAGGTAAAGTTAAACTTATGCTAGGCCTATTAGTAAATATCTTGTAAACTCTTTTTTTATTGCTGAACCTGTCTAAACCTGAACTACTAAAGGAAATGAATTTTGAAAAGATTTAAAGCTTGAAGATAACATCCTACATTAGAGGCATCTAGAGTAAAAACCTGATATCCAACAAAAAGATAAATTTCATTTACTATTAGTAGTAGAGTCATTAAAAGTATATCATCATCTTGTCACTTTTTTATATGTATAATTAATATTTCGAATTTAAATATCGGTTGGTTGCTTGGTAGATGACAAGTTAACGTTCACTTCCAGCGGATGCTGATATCGCAAACGAAGTTAAATATCAGATTAATATGTAATAAATACCATCTATACCTTGCATGGCACATGTATATGGTAGACACATTTATTACTCACAATTAATAATAGTTTTTTTTATACAAGTCTATATAAAGCTTTATACCTATCTTATAGTATAGGTTATATAGTATAAGTTATACCATTCAGATTTTTTTTGGGAAAACGCGAATCATGCTATGAAATAAAATGAAAAATTATAAAGTACACAAACGTCTATCACGTGTTGCGTACGTGACATTTCCTTAAAGGAAGGGATATAACTCTAGTTATGGAATGACATGTTTCAACTATCCGGATTTTCATTAAACCGCACGATTTTATCGGGAACGGGAATGTGCGGATAGACAAGGCTCTACTGTACACAACATAGGTTGATCAAAATGTTTTCACTGGGATAATATTCAGGTTGTTGCTGACCTAAAAACGATCATTTTGATATACATATTTGAGCAAAATGTGGGTTATCAGGTTTTTACTCCAAATGCCTCATTTTATCTATTAGCCAATATTGAGATACGTATTGTATTGTTTTGTAAACTTGAATTGTAATATGTATCGAATCGTGACATGATTGGCAATACCAATCACTAATTTGTCTTTGGTTATAACTAAGCAAGGTTTAGAATTTAACTATCAAGCTCACTACCCACTGATAAGACCAAGAGGCTTGATCAAGGACAAATTGGTAGACAAGATCGTTGTGAATCATAGTTGTTATCCTTATAAACATTGGTTGTTTCTTTCTTTCTCTGCAAGGTAAGAACCATTCTTATGCCAGTGTCAGTGCTTCTGAGAGTCAACCCCTAATACAAACCACAATGTTTTATTCCAGAAATTTGACAGAAGTGTGTGATTTGAGACAGTTTAGATTTTTGAAATATTTATGGTTAAATGGAAACAAGGTAAGAAAACTTGTGTTTGTAAATTTTAAAAACTGTTTTTACCTTTCATGGAATATTAGAGGCATCCAAAAGCCTCCATTTTCTGCCAGATGAAGAGAAAGCATTACCAATTAAAAACTCTTACCAAAACAAACAAGGTCTAGAGTTTGTATTGAATTTTTTTTGTAACAAACTGGTGCAATCCTGAAGAGATCCTTTCCTAATATACTGTGAAATTTAACCCAATAGCATCAAAAGTTGTCAACAGATGATTGGTTGAATATTAAACGACCTCAAACAGAAGATGTAGATCAATTTGTATGATCATTGATGGCGAGTGGAGTCATACACAGAAAAAAACAGGAAACAATCAGATTTCATAAGGTACAACCCTTGATTAAATTTGTAATATATTTCAGCTTAGAAGAATAAGTTGTTTAGAAGGAAACTGTCGATTGGTGGAACTTTATTTACAAAATAATCAACTTGTGTCTATAGATGGGGCGTTACGTCACCTTACTTGTTTAAAATTACTCTTTCTTCATAATAACCAGCTGCGAAAACTAGACCTTGTTTTAAATGAGTTGAAAAAGATGACCTGTTTAGATACATTAAGTGAGTTGTTTATTGATAATATATTTAGAATTTTGATACCCGATAATCCATCGGAAGACCGAATTCCACTAAATTGATGGGTGACCCAATCTTAATCTCCTCTTTGGATGAGTTCATAATCCGGACAGGTAAATGACTTGTTTTGTTTTAACTAGTTGTAGGGGTAATGGGATGTAGGAGTTTTTGGGAGGTTACCATTGTTACTGTTATTACCCTTTGTATGGATTAAGTCTGCTAATCTCTATTATTTCTAACTATGCCAAACCCTATTATTTTTGACTCTGCTATCTCTATTATTTTTAACTCTGTTAATCTCTTTTATTTTTGACTCTGCTAATCCCTATTATTTTTAACTCTGCTAATCTCTATTATTTTTAACTCTGCTAATCTCTTTTATTCTTAACTCTGCTATCTCTATTATTCTTAACTCTGCTAATCTCTATTATTTTTAACTCTGCCAAACCCTATTATTCTAACTATGCCAAACCCTATTATTTTTAACTATGCCAAACCCTATTATTTTTAACTCCGCTAATCTCTATTATTTTTAACTCTGCTAATCTCTTTTATTTTTAACTCTGCTAATCCCTATTATTTTTAACTCTGCTAATCTCTATTATTTTTAACTCTGCTAATCCCTATTATTTTTAACTCTGCCAAACCCTATTACTTTTAATTCTGCTAATCTCTATTATTTTTAACTCTGCCAATCTCTATTATTTTTAACTCTGCTAATCCCTATTATTTTTAACTCTGCTAATCTCTATTATTTTTAACTCTGCTAATCCCTATTATTTTTAACTCTGCTAATCCCTATTATTCTTAACTATGCCAAACCCTATTATTTTTAACTCTGCTAATTTCTATTATTTTTAACTCTGCTAATCCCTATTATTTTTAACTCTGCTAATCCCTATTATTCTTAACTATGGCAAACCCTATTATTTTTAACTATGCTAATCCCTATTATTTTTACTCTGCTAATCCCTATTATTTTTAACTCTGCTAATCCCTATTATTTTTAACTCTGCTAATCTCTATTATTTTTAACTATGCTAATCCCTATTATTTTTACTCTGCTAATCCCTATTATTTTTAACTCTGCTAATCCCTATTATTTTTAACTATGCTAATCCCTATTATTTTTAACTATGCTAATCTCTATTATTTTTACTCTGCTAATCTCTATTATTTTTAACTCTGCTAATCTCTATTATTTTTAACTCTGCTAATCTCTTTTATTTTTTACTCTGCTAAGCTCTATTATTTTTAACTCTGCCAAACCCTTTTATTTTTAACTCTGTTAATCTCTATTATTTTTAACTCTGTTAATCTCTATTATTTTTAACTCTGTTAATCTCTATTATTTTTAACTCTGCTAATCTCTATTATTTTTAACTCTGCTAATCTCTATTATTTTTAACTCTGCTAATCTCTATTATTTTTAACTCTGCCAATCTCTATTATTTTTAACTCTGCCAATCTCTATTATTTTTAACTCTGCTAATCCCTATTATTTTTAACTCTGCTAATCTCTATTATTTTTAACTCTGCTAATCTCTATTATTTTTTACTCTGCTAAGCTCTATTATTTTTAACTCTGCCAAACCCTTTTATTTTTAACTCTGCTAATCCCTATTATTTTTATCTCTGCCAATCCCTATTATTTTTAACTCTGCCAATCTCTATTATTTTTAACTCTGCTAATCCCTATTATTTTTAACTCTGTTAATCTCTATTATTTTTAACTCTGAGTATTTATATAATCAGTTATGTTTTATTCTCTCATTATTTCATCTGTAATTTGTGTTAAAACGTGATAGCTTATTGTGAAGTGGATGTTGAATCTTCCATTGAATTGTTCACTTCATTTAATACATTTTCTAGACTTTTCTGGGCTCTTATTTTTTGGGATGATCCTTAATTTTGATATTGATAATTTCAGGTTTATTTGATAATCCACTGTCCCAAGAACCAGATTATAGAATCCATGTTTTAAATTCCATCAAATCACTTCAAATATTAGATAGACAAGGTAAGAGTTCATGATCTTGTTTAATTGACAGCTATCATGAATCTAACAGAGTAGATATGACCTTTTTAATTGGTAATATACAATATGATCTTATAACAATCTAACTAGGAAGATAATGATAGGGTTAGCTGTCAGCCAAAATTACACTTCGACAGGATAATGTATTTTCTTATTCTGCCCAATGTTTTCACTTCTTGTTGATTTTATTGAAACAGAATAAAGATCTTTTAAATTTTCAACAATGTTTTAATGATTTTTAGAGGTGTCAAAATCTGAACGAGATGTAACCAAGAAAATTTACCAACAAGAAGCAGAACATATATCACAGACCATTGCATTCGGGCGTCGTACTCAGGGGCCTCCTAAATTATACCACGTCTTTACAGATTCACAGAATAAAACAACCAAATTTGGTGAGTTAGATTTTATCTGAGATTTTACTTGGTTGTACTGGTATTTTATTTTACACTACACTCCTGTTAGTTTCTAATTCTTCCTAGTTTGATATGGTTAATTTTTTATTTTTACATCCAGTGATGTATTTAGGCAA